AAAAATACCAATTGTATAGCATTAAAGTTCAAGAAAGGATGGTTTGCGGACAAAAAAAACTGTCTTTTCTTCAATTCCTGTATTTTTTCATATCGCAATATATATCGCAGGGGGAAAAAAATCGCAATGTCAGTTTTTTCCAATATCGTGCAGCCCTACCCCACCGGGCGCGTTTCAAAAGCAGGAGCATCTTGCGTGCCGGCTCGCAGTTTTTGTTGATTTGGGCATATTTACTGGACAGGCTACTTTGTACAGACAAAGTTAATAATAATGTTAATAGTCCAGTTATAAACGACATGAATCAAAGATGTGTTAAAAAAATGCATTCATCATCATAATTATTCTATATAACTTACACAGCGCCTGTAAACCGGAGGAGAATGCTGGCTCCTACTTGAAAGAATACGGAGGGATAGGGTCTGCAAAATTAGTTTATTTTGGGGAGCTTGGGGGGGAGCCTCGCTGCGGTGCCGCTGCGGTGCCGTTCTGTGATTCTCCAGATTCTACAGATGGCCAGTCCGCCACTGCTCACAAGCTTATTAAGATCCAAAGCTTTAGTGCATTTTGAATCAATGCTGAGTACAGCCAAACTTGACAGTCTCTTCTCTGTCATTGTAGACCGAATGCTTCTCGTTTTGCGCTGTCCCGTTCAAATGACAAGGGGGTTACAAGGCTTGCGTCTTGTGCTGCATTCACTTGGACTCGGACATTAGGGATTTTCTCTCATAAATGTCCGATGAGCCAAAACCTTTCTTTCAATACAAAGCTGCCAACTGGGGTGGCAGCATATGCACCACCACCCCTCGCCCTCCATGATCAAGCGGCTTCTCCGATTTAGTTGTCAATGTTTTGACTGAACTTTGTTACTGTTCACATATAACCCCTAGATTCCACCGGGTCCGTCTGGGGCGAGTTACGGCCGTGTTACGCGTTACGGCCGCGTTACGGCCGCGTTACGGCCGCGTTACGGCTGCGCCGCGGCGCTCACGGCGATCGCGGCCACTCTAGTCAATGGGTGCTATTCCACCACACGCGGCGCGTTACGGCTCAGAAGCGTCCCAGAAGCGTCCCAGAAGCGTCTCGGCGCAGGGCTCCTCTAAAATTAGGATGAATCCTATTTTTGACGCGATGCAGCCGTAAGGCAGGCAGGAAGTGGAACGTTCAGAGCATATATAGCATATATATATATATATATATATATATACACACATACAAACAAATTTTGCAGACCCTATCCCTCCGTAGTCTTTCAAGTAGGAGGAGAAATGCCAGCGTTCTCAGGCACTGTGTAAATTATATATATAGAATAATTATGATGATGAATGCATTTTACCACAAAAATACAGCAACACATCTTCGATTCATGTTGTTTATAACTGGCCGGCCCACCTCGTTACAGCAAGTAAATACCGCTAGTAAATTGTCAACGGGGGGGGGGGGGGGTGCTAGTGACTTATCCGACCGGCCCACTTCAGTACCGCCACCGAGTGGAACTACACTGTTTTATCAAATCCAAAGTGCCACGCAGTAACTTGGTATGCATGTATTTCAGCAGGAAATGTGCAATGTAGATGACATGTACCAACACAGACTATATAGAAATATTTGTAAAAGTTGTTCATGCGTTATTAAGTGAATATGGCATTAAAACACCTATGCTTTTTGACTGTCACATTTTTACATTTCAGCATTGCATCACTAATTTAAGTCTGTTAAGCAGTCTGTAACCCTACACACCTAACATATAACTTTTCATGTATTTTTGTATAAAGGTTTCCTTTAGCTTAGCTTCTTAGCTAGCTAGCTAGCTCTGGAACTTCCAGCTCGGTGGCAGCAGGTCCCACCTCGGCTCCGCCTCTTTGCCCTTATTTGGATCAGGCTGGAGCAGGCGGGAGTTAGACTCTGACGTCACTGTCGAGACGTTAGTGGCCGACTCCGCCTACTAAGGGCTTCTCTGCAACTCTGCAGAATCCTATGGGTGACGTCACGGACCCTACGTCCATTTATATATACAGTCTATGGTATAAACAGGCAAACTCAAAACAGGACAGGTTGGAAGTTTGACAGACATTCACTCTGTTATTAGGTATTACAATTTACACACCTAAAAAACACACTGAAAAAAAGGAAACGTTGACTTTAATTAAATAATTAAATTTAAATTTAAATAAATGTATTATGTCAACAGACTCCACATCAGCGACGTGCAGTCAGAGGAGGCAGGGGAGGCAGAGCCTCACCTGTCATACTCCAATGTAACAGAAAAACAACTAAAGAAAAACTAAATAGTAATAATAATAAAATGTCTCCACTGATCTGTGTTGTAAGTGTGATTTCTGTATGATTCCAATCGCTTTTTATAGTCAAAATCAGCAAATTGTCCGAGCTCCGCTACAACTACATGGGAGCGATGAGGAGTGAGGCAGGGACGAGCTCTGCCTCACGTAAGCCCACAGTAACTGATGGAGCGCGGGCACTAATGTAGCGCGGGCACTTATTTTGTGAGCGCGCTCAAGCCAGGCTCATTTGCTTACTGTGGGGTGAGGTGAGGCACAGATGAGCTCTGCCTCACCTCAGAATGCGTCACCCCACAGAAACTGGCTGGAAAGCGGGCCCTAAGCGCATGCCTGTTACCATCTCACTGTAGGTCACCAATGTAATGTTTGTAGAGCCCTTTATTACATTTATCCTCGCCATCCATAGTCTCTAAATAACTTATTTCATATGATATTTAGGCTCGCTGGTCTCATCATACAACGGCAATGAAAAAAGCACCAGGGGAGGCAGCCATAACCTCTGCCGCACTGAAGGTGGCGCACGTGAGCCCACAGGTTCTTGTTGCTACTGTTATTCTACGCAGAGACGGTAGACGCAAACAACAAACTAGACTTTTGTTTTGAAACTAGAGGGAGATAAGGAGGACTTTTACAAAAAAGTAATAGAGATTGTTGTCCAGAAGGATAGCATGGACTTCATCTTCAAGTCAAGGTAAGACCACAATTGTAATGAAAATGGGATCTTACTAAGAAAGAACAATCCAATATTTAGATTTTGGGTATCCTCTGTTTAAAATGAATCGAAGCATCAGACTAAAAAAGCTTTTGAAAATAACCGAATATTTCGATTAAGGTCAAAATATAATATTTGTAAATCTGACTCTGAAAGAGTCAGTGCCTCACCAGCCATGAACCTCACCGCACGTCACTGCTCCACATGTATTAGGGTAGTTGAAAGCAAAAAAGTTGAAAGCAAAAAACGTTTCAGTTTTTCAGTGCAGCCTGTTATGTTAACATTCAACATTTTCATAATTCCGCCGTGGTATCACTTGTTTCAATTTAACGATTCATACAAAAATATAATAATATTCAAAGCATTTTTATTCTTTTATTTCAGAAGAAAAACCCAATTATTTCTGTTTAGCAAATAAGCATTTAATCAGAGGCATGGGCATACTTTAACGTGGTCCAGCATGTAAAGTAATCAGCCTCCATTATCTCAACTGCAAACATTCAGTTTGTTTGTCAAAGCATGTTTTAATGAAAAGTGAAAGCATACTCTACCAAGTCAAGGCTTGCACATTCTGGCAAACAACTAGGAATGCTGATTTGATGAGATAAATGCCACAGAAAACCATAAAACCTCCAGATTTCTCTTGTGGCAGACAAACTTGATCTCGACTTGTGGAGGACAGAGCATTTTCCTTATAGCACATCACCCTTCAGTTAAAGTCAGTACTTTGTTTAGCCCTCTAAGACAACATGGTACACCTCGGTGATGTTCCTCAGAACTTCCAAGTCAAATCAAAGTCATATTTAATGCTGTGAGTATGTTGCTGCTCATAGCCTTCTTCTTCATTCTGCAGTACTTATTTGATATGGATTTTGTTTGCTCATGCCGACCAGGTGTACACGAACACGAAATAGTGTTCATGGCTTCAGACTTGCTGGTGGAGGGCTTGATAACACACCCCCCCTCCACACATGTTGGATTGGAATGGCACTTAATGTGGCGGACCCTCCACGCAAACGGAGTGGAAGTGTGTGAGGGGGATGTCAAGTTAGACAACTTCAGTTTGTGATGAAATCATCAGCTGATTGCCGCTGGATCGGATGTCAGTAGCTTTAACAGCTGCTTCAGAGACTTTTGACGGAGTTTGTGTTTGTATTTCATGTTCGCTGTTCTACTACTATTGAAAGACACTAAGGATATCTCTGTCAGAGCAGCAACAATGTGTTACCTGTTTCACGCACACCTGCACATAAATAACACCCTGCCCTCTGTAAGAATTCTCTGTACTGTGTCCTGTCAATACCTGACAAGCTTGACCCCACTGTCTGAGAGACTGTTTAGCAGAGAGACATGCAGTCTCATTTATATATGATGTACTACAAGACCATGGAAAAAGAGTTTGGTAACAAAATAACCGAGGACATCTGGGACAAGTTCTTGAAATATGTGAATATCCCCTTAATGCCAGGCACTGCTTAATACAGTTTAAAATGATACATAGGTTCCATTACTCTAAAGTAAAACTTCATTAATTTGTTTTATATTTATATAAATATACACTTTTTTATGATCATTTGTTTTTTCCCATTGTGTTGGTATGTTGGTATTCCTGTCATATCATGTTATTTCTTTTTTTTGCTGTTCTGTATGTCTTCTATGCTGTGAAAAAGAGAAGCATGATATCCACCCACAGAAATCTGTATTATGGCTGTATACGATACGATATGATAGGATAATACTTTATTGGTCAGATCAAGTCTGAAATTTGACTTGCATCACAGCAGCTCCATGTGTAACATCAACATAGACAAATATCAAGACACAATACATGAAAAACAAACATCAAACATTTAACATAACAGCACAATCAGTGAGAGAAAACATTTTCAATCACCCTTTAGCATGCATTTGATCTGGGATTTAGCTCTGTATTTACTGTGAGATACATGTATGCTTCTGCTTAATAAAAATATCTGAAACGAAACACGTACCTCTTCCTTGGCAATTCGCATGTGGTCTTTGACCTCAGAGAAGATGGTGGGCTGAATGAAGAGGCTGTGCTCGCCCAAAGCTGCTCCTCCATACTGCAGCTTAGCTCCCTCCTCCTTCCCACTCTTTATCAGATCCATAATCTTGTTAAACTGCTTTCGGTCAATCTGGAGCCAGAAACAGGCAGGCAAGTACAAAGTGAAAGAGATAGACAGGGGGAATTTCCTTTGTTTGCGTTATCAATGAAAAGGTTAGCATCAGTTAAAATGTTGGGCGTTCAGCACAGAGGTAGTGAAATCACTATGTAACACTTGCGCTTCTATTGGCTAGCGCTCAAACACATTGTACATGATTACGTGGTTAAGGCAAGGCAAGGCAAGGCAAGGCAAGTTTATTTATATAGCACCTTTCAACACAAGGTAATTCAAAGTGCTTTACAAAAATGGAAGACATTTTAAAAATGGCATTTAAAATCAGTCATTAAAAAGGAAAGATAATAAAATAAACATTAAAAGAAAAAATACATGGATAAAAGTTAAAAGTTACAGTGCAGTTTAAGATGTGAATAGTTCAATTAAAAGCAGCGGCAAAAAGAAAAGTCTTCAGCCTGGATTTAAAAGTAGTAAGAGTTGCAGCGGACCTGCAGGTTTCTGGGAGTTTGTTCCAGATATTCGGAGCATAATAACTGAATGCTGCTTTACCATGTTTAGTTCTGACTCTGGGGACAGAAAGCTGACCAGTCCCTGAAGACCTGAGGGTTCTGGATGGTTCATAATTTAGCAGTAGGTCAGACATGTATTTTGGGCCTAAACCATTCAAAGCTTTATAAACCAGCAACAATATTTTGAAATCTATTCTTTGACACACAGGAAGCCAGTGTAAAGACTTCAGAACAGGAGTGATGTGATCCACTTTCTTAGTGTTAGTGAGGACTCGAGCAGCGGCGTTCTGAATTAGCTGCAGCTTTCTAATAGATTTTTTAGTGAGGCCTGTAAAGACACCATTGCAGTAGTCGAGTCTACTGAAGATAAAAGCATGGACAAGTTTTTCCAAATCCTGCTGTGACATTAGTCCTTTAATCCTAGATATGTTCTTTAGGTGATAGTAGGCTGATTTAGTAACTGTTTTAATGTGACTGTTGAAACTCAGGTCAGAGTCCATGACTACACCTAGATTTCTGGCTTTATCTGTTGTTTTGAACATTGCAGACTGAAGCTCAGCGCTAACTTTTATACGTTCTGCCTTGGCTCCAAAAACCATTATCTCAGTTTTATCTTTGTTTAATTGGAGAAAGTTCTGACACATCCAGTCATTGATTTGTTCAATGCACTTACTCAGTGTTTGAATTGGAGCATAATCTCCTGGTGAAATTGTTACGTAAATTTGTGTGTCATCCGCATAGCTATGGTAACTTATTTTGTTGTTTTTCATTATCTGAGCCAGTGGTAGCATGTAGATGTTAAAGAGAAGAGGCCCCAAGATGGAGCCTTGAGGTACCCCACATGTCATATTTGTCAACTCAGATGTGTATTTACCTATAGAAATAAAGTTTTTTCTGTCCTTTAAGTAGGACTCAAACCAATTTAGAACTGTTGCCGAAAGTCCCACCCAGTTTTCTAGTCGGTCTAGTAATATGTTGTGGTCAACAGTGTCAAATGCAGCACTGAGATCTAATAATACTAACACTGAAGTTCTGCCACTGTCTGTGTTTAAGTGGATGTCATTGAAGACCTTTACAAGAGCAGTCTCAGTGCTGTGGTTTGGACGAAATCCTGACTGGAACACATCCAAACAGTTATTTAAATGCAAGAAGTTACTCAACTGTTGAAATACTACTTTTTCAATGATTTTACCTAGAAATGGCAGGTTTGATATTGGCCTGTAATTGTTCATTACTGAAGCATCTAGATTATTCTTTTTTAAGAGCGGTTTAATGACTGCAGTTTTCAGGGCCTCTGGAAAAATACCTGAGTGAAGAGATGTGTTTACTATATGAAGTAGATCTGAGGCCATGCAAGGAAAAACATCTTTGAAAAATCCTGTTGGAATAATATCAAGGCAGCAGGAGGAGGATTTCAGAAGTTGAATAATGTCCTCTAAGTTTTTACCATTAATCTGATGGAATTGTGTCATGGTGTTTGAATTGATATTAGGTGGACATAGGGACAAAACATTTGCTGTACCTGATGTAGAGGCACTGACTGCTTGTCTAATTTTCTGAATTTTGTCAGTGAAGAAGGAGGCAAAATCATTGCATGCCCTGGTGGATAGAAATTCAGAGGCTACTGACACTGGGGGGTTAGTTAGTCTGTCGACGGTAGCAAACAAGGCACGTGCGTTGTTTTTGTTTTTGGTAATGATGTCAGAGAAGAAAGACTGTCGTGCGTTTTTCAATTCCAAATTATAAAGGCCAAGTCTCTCTTTATAGATTTCAAAGTGAACCTGGAGATTTGTTTTTCGCCACCTACGTTCAGCTTTTCGACACTCTCTTTTTTCTGTTCTCACGGTCATGGCCTTTCTCCATGGAGATATTTTCTTGCTAATCACTTCCTTTACCTTAGTTGGAGCAATGGTATCTATAACATTTTTAATTTTTGAATTAAAATGATCTACTAGCTCATTTACTGAGATGTTAGCAGGGGCAAGTGTGGATGAGAAATTATGAGTAAACATTTCCCTAGTATTTTCAGTTAAATATCGCTTTGTAGTTACCTCTTTCTGAACATTTTTGTGAACAGAAATAGAGCTCTCAAAGAAAACACAGGAATGATCAGAGAGTGCAACATCAGTCACCACAACCTTTGAGATATTCAGACCCTTTGAGATAATTAAGTCCAGAGTGTGCCCCTTATTGTGCGTGGGCTCCGCCACATGCTGAGTCAGTCCATAGTTATCAAGAACACAAAACAGTTCTTTAGCCCCTCTGTCCTGGGGGTTGTCAACATGGATGTTAAAATCACCAACAATGACTAAACGGTCAAAGTCAATACACACTATAGACAGCAGTTCAGTAAAATCTTCAAAAAAGCTTGCACAGTATTTGGGTGGTCTATAGATATTTAGGAACAGAGCTTGAGAGGAGCATTTCAGCTGAAGGGCCACATATTCAAAAGAAGCAAAGTCCCCATAAGATGTCTTCCTGCATTGAATGGAATCATTGAACAAAATAGCAACTCCACCCCCTTTCTTATGCATTCTTTCCTGACTCATAAAACTAAAGTTGGGAGGGGTTGATTCGATAAGAACAGCTGCACTGTTATTTTGTTCAATCCAAGTTTCCGTTAAAAACATAAAATCGAGATTGTGCTCAGTGATAAAATCATTGATTAAAAATGTTTTTCCTGCCAAAGACCTGACATTTAATAAAGCTAGTTTAAGTTTGTTAAATACACTATCAGTAAAACATTTTGTGACAAGCTGTGGCTGACATGGAATCACTGCTAAATTTGATAACCTCACACAAACGTTTGAGCACTTCCTGTTTCTAAGCTGATTTACCGCTCTTAATCTATTACCTATCAACACAGATATCGGCAAAGCTACTGGCAGGCAGGGCCCCGGCATGTGCTGGAAAGAGTTGAGAGTGCCATATGCCCTTGAGCCTGGACCCAGCACATATCAGTAAAAGTTTGTTGCGTTTTGTACACACACATCCTTATCAGGCTTCGGAGACTGCAGATGCTTTCTTGAAGGGATGGGAGGTGGTTGACATAGGCACAGTGATGAAGACGGGGGAGATGGTGCGCGTCTCTGCTTCGGTGATTTTGGTGGGCGTCGTTGAGGGGCGGGGGTAAAGGACATGCTGCCAACCCTGCATCTCGCCTTCATGCGGTCATCGAACTCCAGGGGGGAGGGCGAGGGTGAAAGGGTGAGCGGAGAGTAGAGAGAGCTGGGAGATGAATGAAGAGTATCCTCCAAGGCGTTGACAGGGGGGGTGACGGGCAGTGGAGACTCCTCCATTTGTGTCATAGGTCTCCCATAATCAGAACATTCCTCAGGCGGGTGCAGTGATACTTCTTCAGGGTTTTCTGCGCAATGTGTTGTGTCTTTCTCCTGTTTTGATTCCTCTTGCCGCTTGTCCTTGGCAGAGGGAACAGATTGCTGACGCAGGCAGTTGAATATGTTAGAGATAAACAATTTCACTCCTGACTTGTTCAGGCAAACTCCATCTGCCTTAAAAAGATGTCTGCGATCCCAGAAAAAGTTAAAATTGTCAATAAAATGGACAGAATGGTCAGTGCAGGCAGCTGAAAGCCACATGTTCAATGCAAACAGTCTGCTGAATCTCTCCACTCCTCTTCTGACTGGCGGTAGAGGGCCACTGATGAACACCTCCGCATTTAGAGAGCTGACAGTTTCCAACAGACATTTAAAGTCTTCTTTCAGCGCTTCTGACTGTTGTTTCACAACATCATTTGTTCCAATATGTAGTACCACATTCTTCACAGTCGGATGTTCAGCCCCAATATGCAGGATCTTCTCAGCCAAGTCGGAGACCATATCCTTGGGAAAACAGAGTACTTTGGTGTTGTTCTTACTACACAGACCTTTTACATCTCTTACAGCAGAATCACCCACAATCAGAGTTTCAGGCCCAGCCGTTAGCTTTCCCTCTAGCCTTTTACTTTTGGAGTAGCTATTGGTCCTTACCCTGCTGTGTGAAGAGGACGGGTTATCCAGGTCATCAGAAAGAGATCTCCGGTTCTCGGTCAGCGGAGCGTATCTGTTCTGGATTGGCACACTTGGTGGTTTAGGAGGATTGTTTGTAGTTCTCCCTTTAGCAGCTGTCCACGGCTGTTTCCTAGTATGAATAGGGGTTGAAGAGGCACTCTTCCTGGGTGATAACAATGCAGGCCAGCCGGTCGCATCACAGATTTCAGAGCGCTGGGCTCTGCCTGTTATTCGTCCTCCCAAATCCCATGGAAATGATTTACTCTTAGGCTTTGCACCCAGAGAGTTCCAGGGAGGACTACCACTTGTAGATTTATTACCCAGTACACAGCCCTCCTGTTCCATGGAAACCTTGTAGCTGCTAACTAGCTGTGAGTTAGCATACCCTTTTCCATTATCTTGCAACACTGGTAAAGTGGTGTTATTCCCACAACATAGTCCATTCACTTCCACGTTAACTTCCAACCGTTGCATTTTCATTTCCAACACAGCCATCTTCTGTTGAAGTTTGTGGAAGTCATCTGTAGAGAACGGAGGCATTTTGCTACCAACTAGCTTAAGCTAAATAGCATGCAGTAGCCTACCAGGCTTTAGCTGTTGCTAGGCCACGCTACTGTAAGACTGAGGTCGTCGTAAAAATGTTGAAATATGGCTGAAACCCTCCGTCTATTTACGATGAATAACTGTCCCAGTGATAAGTTAATGTCCAGGAGCCGCTGCTCGAAGTTTTCAGAGAATAAGAATAGGAAAATCAGCATAAAAAGTAAGCAGAGGCAAGAGCAAGCAGAAAAGCGTCTGCACTGTAAGAAAGATACAAACTGGTTAAGGGGGCGGGACATCTCTAAGCAGCTGACCAATTACAACAGAGTCTGCCAGCTAAGTGGTTCCCTACCTGGGGGGCAGCGCTATTGCAGGGGGGGTGTGGCCCCACGCAAAGGTGTTTCATGAGGCCCTCCTGGTCACACATGTGTCGCGAACTTTGACGGGGGGGGGGGGGGGGGGGGGGGGGGGCTAGTGGATCGCCGGAGCTGTTAGAACTGTTAGCGCCGGAGCCTCGCAGCGGGGACACTGAAACTGTGGAGCGCATAATTGCGCCGCATTTGCGCATAAGATTAATTGCGCCGCATTCAAGCATAGATCGTCCGCAATATGAGGACCCCTCAGCAAGGTGAGGCCCCACGCAGTCTGCGCAGGGTAGCTTGTGAATTTACTCCAGGTGTGATTAAAGTCTGATTTAAGAGTTGATTATATTTCACATCATTAATCCAGATCTGTAAAGTAACTAAATGTTTTAAATACATGTAGTGTAAAAGTACACCATTTACCTCTGGACTGTAGTGGAGCAGAATTACAAAGAAGCAAAAGTGGAAATACTTAAGTACCTCAAAATAAGTACAGTACTTGAGTAAATCTACAGTTACAACCAACACTGCAGCTATGTTTTGTGTGCTAGCAGCCCATAATCCACACTATACATGAAATAAATCAATGTTAATTCTGTTTCCAATTTGTTTAGTTATATCTTACACAGGCTCCGCCCTCTACTGGACTCTATGGGTACTACCTCTTAACCATACTATGCGAGCATTCACCTACTGAGATATCTATAAACGTAGCCGGCCCCTCGGGGCGGGCCTACCTGAATGCGTGCGAGAATTCAGACCCATTCTGGATCTTCGCAGTCTGAATCAGCACATTGCCTGCAAAAAGTTCCATATGTAAACCAATTACTGGAACTAGGGCAGCCGGGCGATTGGTTCACAACCATCGACCTGAAGGATGCTTACTTTCATATCGAAAATTGCTCCAAAGCACAGAAAGTATTTGTGTTTTGCCTTCCAGGGGGGTAGCCTACGAGTACAACAGACTACCGTTTGGCTACTCCCTATCCCCACGCACGTTCAGCAAATGTGTGGCCACAGCACTTCAGCCCCTTCACGACCATGGCACGAGGGTTTTGTAATACGACCTCATAGTCATGGCCAGGTCCAGGGAAGAGGCAAACACAGCCCAATTGATCCAAGTGGATTGCGGTCAATTGGAAGAAGAGCAATCCCATGCCTCACCAGCAGGTGGGGTATCTGGGAATTTTTGCTCGATGTAGGCAGACTACGCCCATAGGCAGGCGGGGAGAGCCATGCACACTCTTCACGAGCTAAGCGTGTCTGAGTGTGCTCTACCAGCCAAGTAAACTGCGGCCCCGACTTCTCCACGGTCACAACCGGAGGAGAAGAAGTTGCGGTGCAGTGGCTCTTAACCAAAAGCCGGTCAGGGGCAGTGTGATGGGTCGATGTTGTTGGACGACAGGGCGTTTATGCATCAGGGCTCCACCCACTGTACCCATAGAGTCCAGTAGAGGGCGGAGCCTGTGTAAGATATAACGGGGGGTTACGTATTGTAACCCTAGTTATATAAGCACAGGCGGAGCCCTCTACTTGGGGCCCTGTCTGTCCTATGCTGCTCGCTGAAGAGGGTGTAGGATGACAGTCAGGAGGCTTGGCCGCCTTATATACGGTGGGCTTGCGCACGCATTCAGGTAGGCCCGCCCCGAGGGGCCGGCTACATTTATAGATGTCTCAGTAGGTGAATGCTCGCATAGTATAGGGTAGTACCCATAGAGTCCAGTAGAGGGCTCCACCTGTGCTTATATAACTAGGGTTACAATACGTAACCCCCCCGTTTTTCCCTTAGAAGATAACAAAAATAACAAATCAAAATACTGTTAAAGTACCAGATCGATAAGCAGTATTTGTAATTGTTTCAGTTAGGCCTCATTATTTCACAGTGGCACGGGATCATCTGCCAATACAAGCACTTTTGTTCATGATCAATCCATAATCAAATATAAAATTATAGTTTGTATAACTATATACAATTAATTCTACCAATCTTGGTGGGAACCGGGTTAGGGGGGGCTCGAAAATATTTCCAATTACCCAAGGGGGGCCTGACTGAAAAAGGTTGGGAACCACTGAGCTAACCAATCAGAGCAGACTGGGCTCTGGTTTCAGACAGAGGGTGAAAAGAGGTGCTGCAGCACAGGCAGTATGAGAAAAATAAAGAGCTTTTTGAACATTAAAGTATGGAGACATGTCACAGTAGAGACACTACATACTGATATGAACCTGAAACTGAGCATAACATGGCCCCTTTAAGAGGCAATAATATGTCAATGTCATATTCAAAACTTGTTTAAAAAAACAGTTACAAGTAAGGATGTTGCTTGTTGACTCAAGGTTTGCTGTGAGTTCTACCTGTGGCCCGTGTGATGTCTGGGGGTCCAGCGGGTCTCCTATGACAATCTTCTTGGCATTTTCTACGCTGCGATGCACAAATTCCTCATAAATACTCTCTTCCACAAAGACACGTGATGCAGCTGTGCAGCACTGACCCTGGTTATATAAAGCTCCTTTCTGGGTTTCCTCCACAGCCAGCTTCACTACACACACACACACACACACACACACACACACACACACACACACACAATGACAATCATTAAGAAAAGAAAAAACACATGTTGTGCATGCAAATTATTAATACACGATTAAAGGAAATATTTGAACGAATTCCTTGATAAATCAGGTACCACAATAAAACAATGACACCCCCTAACTGATCAGAACTATCACTTTTACATTTTTGAACAAAACTGCTACACAAAAGCTCTTTTTCAGATTGACAGTGAAAGCAGATGACATACACATCAGAGCTGTGCCTGAATCTTATGAAGACAAACACACACACACACACACACACACACACACACACACACACACACACACACACACACACACACACACACACACACACACACACACACACACACACACACACACACACACACACACACACACACACACACACACACACACACACACACACACACACACACACACAGTTACAAAGAGGACAAGAGCAATAAAGAACAACCATTTTGACGTAACTCCAACATTCTTCAGAATGCATTGAGACCTTCTCTACTCTGGGAAGTATCATCAGTCTGGGAGGGTGTTATATTCTTAAAGTAGACAATTTCTTAGACAATTTGTCTTCGTTTGGCACAAGAGGAACTTGTCACCATTCTTGGGGGAAAATCCCCAGGTATTAAGCTCTGACTTTCTAACTGTCACACCTGTCAATGCTCATACACTATTAAACTAAAACCTAATTAAATCTCTAGACAAAAATACTGAGGAAATTACTTCAATGATATCTACAGCATGGCATTAAAAAAAATGTAGTTGTTATGTGCAGATTTGGATTCAACATTTCACTGAATGAGAAAAACATAATGCTGGTTGCTTTACAATATATGTACATGTAGGATGCTTCAAGCTGATTGGTAGGAACAAGAATAAATACCGGACTGTTATCAGGTGCTGTTTAGAGGGTATGACTGTGCTTATCAGTCAACTAACAAGTAATCAGGCCAATGTATCATCATATTACACGTGAGTGGTGCAGTAGTGGCTGTATTGTACCGGATCTCTGCAGCCCCCTGAGCTACAAAAAATGTATTTGATAGTGAGACAGTCACTGAGATCGTCAACTTACAGTTGTCGGATGACAGCAATGGCACAAAAAAGGTTAATTGTACATATGAAAGATGAGCCATGACAGGCCTCATATTTCAATATTTCTGAGTAGTGATGTGGTAAAACCCCTGAGGGTGCAAAGGTGTGAAGTGCCTCCAGTGCATGCTGAAACATGTTCATGTTGCATTTGATTCATCATTTTACTATTATGTATATTAGTTTTGTTTACTTACAGTCACAGTCAGCAAACACAATGCATGGGTTCTTCCCCCCCAGCTCCAGAGTCACTCTCTTCAGATTGCTTTTGGCAGATGCTTGTTTGATCAGCTGGCCAACCTGCATGACCATACACACAAACATATCCTAATGCATCATGGGTAGTCCATCTACACAGTAGCAGCACAAAAGAGAGTATTCAGATGTTAGTGAACTTAAGCAATTTATGCTACTAAAATCTATTTAAGATGGATATTTAGGAATTCTAAGAGTCATTGCATTAGAAAACTAACTTCTCAAGTTTGAAATCAATCTAGGGGGAGTCTACAGTATTTTAAAGCTAACTGGATGAGGCAAGAGTTTTTTCAATTATTTTATACATTTAATTGTTGCAGTTTATTTATACAAGAAGCTTTATCCACATCAGTGAAACTCAGACTTTTTCAGCTTCAGAGAACTGCGGTGTCTCACGCAGGTCCCAAACTTACAATAAACACCACCAAGGACCCTTCATTTATAAGGAACACAACAGACCATGAATCTAAAATGTTAAGGATATACATTTATTTTATTATACAAGCACTGCAATAATCAGATGTGCTGAGCTGAGTTTAATGGAACATTTTAAACCACCTCATACAACAACGCGCATACAAATGTGTTACACTTTATAAAGAACAATCATGTTCTACTCTTCTTTCTATTTCTCACCGGTTTCATAATTCTCAAATCATCTTAACATGGCGCACGCACACGCACACGCAGACACACACACACACACACACACACACACACACACACACACACACACACACACACACACACACACACACACACACACACACACACACACACACACACACACACACACACACACACACACACACACACACACACACACACACACACACACACACTTTGTGCCTTAGGAACTACAAAGCCAAACCAACTTGCAACACAAAATGGAAAAGGATACCATACCCCAAATTGCTTCCATTAGTGCTGCAGATAAGTGAATATACAACCCAGTCTCACGGCATTTCGTGTTCACCAACACGATTTTCCCTTTTTTTCGTGTCACACAGAACAATATTAAAAGCAATGTATTTCTATTGGTAGTATGTTTCGTGCTTTTTTTGCTGTCCGTGAGGAAAATAAATGGGGCTCAGAATACTGAAATATGTATTTTTTAAATCTTTTTTTCCTTCTAATTTGTTATTCTTTTCTAAATAACACACTATTATTTACTCAACAATAACACACAATTATCGTTGTTTTTATTTATTTGTTTAATTCTATAATATCGGGCTTTTTTGCCATCCGTCAGGAACTAAATTTCAAAATACACACCCACTGAACTTATTACCCAAGATCCTCAGCTATGGTTGAAGCTCGGTGATTGGATGTTTTAGCCGCAATGCACGTTGGGATATGGTGTTTATGCGATGTGAAATCCGAAAACATTTAAAAAGAAAAGAAAAGAATACTTTATTCCGAGTGTGCTTGCTTTGAAAGTCATCACATAACGGCATTGTAATACACGGTTCGGCTGCATTAAATATTACACATCTGCCGTAGTTCTTTATTTATAGAGCCCTGATCAGAAGACCTTTGGACAAACTGGAAGAACTGCCACCGAAACTGAATATGTGACGTGGATCATAAATATATCACCAATTAAACAACATCTTCAATTTCTCTTCACACAATACGTCTCCTTGCAGTATCAATACTAATTCGGCTGACTTTTATATTTGATCCTGCTGCTGCCACAAACTATTGCTCTAGTCATCCTGGTTTAGGGTGATCTGTAAACTATCGTAATAATTTAGGAAGGGGGCCCAAATCTTTGTAAACTTCTGCACAGAGCCTTTTAGAGTGTACCGGATTTTCTCAAGTTTAAGAAAGTGCATAGTGTCTCTTATCCATCTAATACAATTGGGAGGTGCTTGATCCTTCCAGGACAGGAGAATTAGGCGCCTGGCAATCAAGGAGGTAAATGCTATGACTGCCTGAGTTTTACCTCTAAGGTTGCCGGTTTCAGGGGTGAGCCCAAATAAAATACATACAGGATTGGGTGTGATGTCTTTTTGAAAAATCTTAGAGTATGCAATGAATATGTTGCCCCAAAATGAGCTGAGGTTGCGACAGGACCAGAACATGTGAATGTGATCTGCTGGTTGACTGTTACAGCGAGGGCATGAAGGGTCTAGGTCAGGGTATAGCTTCGCCAGCCTTGCTTTGGTAAAGTGCACTCTCAGAACAATTTTGAGTTGTATCAATCTATGCCTAGCACATGGGGAAGAGGTATGTATTAAGTCAAGCACTTTCTGCCATTGATCGTCAGCCATTTCCTCACCAATGTCATTCTCCCAACGACTCCTGGCATGTTGCAGAGATAAAGCAATGATATTGTTTATACTATTATAGAGAAGAGAGACTAGCCCTTTGCTACCCGGCGATAGTGAGAGAATATGATCAATTGCGTTGTTCATTGGGATGTCAGGGAAAGAAGAGATATTTGTCTTAACAACGTGTCTAATCTGGAGATATCTGAAGAAGTGAGACTGTGGTAAATTAAATAATTGAGAGTTGTGTAAATGATCCAAATTTCCCATCTACATACAAAGTACGAACGGATTTAATCCCATTTGTGTCCCATATCCCGAAAGTAGAGTCAGAGAGGGAGGGAGGGAAGTTGTAATTATTCTTGAGTGGAGAATGTACCGACGTTGTCTGCAAATTGAAATGCCTTCTAAATTGCGACCAAATTCTGACGGAGTGATACACCACTGGATTAGAGCTGAATTGAGGTAAAGAAGGACGGGACTGAGCGCATAGTATGGAACGTAGATTAAGTGGGCTACAGGCCTGTTCCAATTGTACCCAGGCCTCACCATTGCCAGGTTCAACTTCCTTCATCCATTGTAGCATTGCTTTTATATTGCACGCCCAGTAGTAGTGGATGAAATTGGGTAGGGCCGGCAAGTTTTTTAGGTCTTTGAAGGGCACTTCTCCTTATTCTCGGGGGCTTGCCATTCCAAATGAATGATGAAATGCTTCTCTCCAATGAATGAAAGAAATACTTTTTTATCAAGATAGGAATATTCTGAAAAAGGTAGAGGAATTTTGTTCATACAATCATTTTTATCAGATTAAATCAAATCAAATCAAATCAAGTTTTATTTATAAAGCACATTTAAAAGCGATTTTTGGTCGAGCCAAAGTGCTGTACATGTAATAAAAACACATTACTATAATCACAATAAAAGACAATAAATTACAACAGATATATATAAAAAACACAAGGAAAAGTCAGGAGTCGTGCTCCGCTCTAACTAGAAGGCCAGAGAGAAGAAGTGTGTTTTTAGTGTAGATTTAAAAACCCCTAGGGTCTGGGCCGACCTCACATGGAGGGGCAGAGTGTTCCAGAGCCTAGGGCCAGCTGCTGCGAAGGCTCGGTGCCCTCGGGTTTTAAGCCTGGTCTTGGGCACTACCAGCAGCAGCTAGTCAGCAGACCTTAAAGCTCTGGCTTAGCGCTGGAGGAGTTCGGCTATATAGGCCGGAGCCAGCCCATTTAGTGCTTTGAAAACAAATAAAAGGATTTTAAAATCAATTCTGAACCGAACTGGAAGCCAGTGTAGTGAGGCCAGAATTGGGGTGATGTGGTCACGCTTTTTGTGGCCAGTCAGCAAACGTGCAGCTGCGTTTTGGACTAGCTGCAGGCGTTTAATTGAGGCCTGGTCCATACCCACATACAGAGCGTTGCAATAGTCCAGTCTTGAGGTTACAAAGGCGTTAATAACCCTTTCTAAGTCATTAAAAGATAAATACGACTTGGTTTTGGCCAATAGTCTTATTTAAAAAAAGCAGGATTTGACTACGGTGCTGACCTGCTTGTCGAATTTAAAAGTGCTAGTGAAGGTCAGTCCAAGGTTCATGACCGAGGGGAGGATGTTTTTTTTGAGAGAGCCCAGAATATCAACCGGAGAGGCTGGAGGTTGGGGTCCAAAAAAGATGACCTCAGTCTTGCTCTCGTTGAGGTTGAGAACGTTTTTGCTCAGCCAGGATTTTATCTCTGTTAAGCAGTCCATCAACTACTGTAGTGAGTGTTTGACATTTGCTTTGAGAGGCAGATATATCTGTACATCGTCGGTAGCAGTGGAAGGGAATATTATGTTTAGAGAGAATTGAACCTAGGGGCAGTATGTACAGTAGAAAAAGGATGGGGCCCAGAATTGAGCCTTGGGGAACCCCACAGGTAAGAGGGGCTTTGGCAGAGGAGAAGGCACCTAGCTGTACCGAGAAGCTACGGTCTGTCAGGTAGGACCTGAACCATGCAAGGGCGGAGCCTGTGATGCCAGCAGACTGTTCAAGCCGTGACAACAGGATGCTATGGTCCACAGTGTCAAAGGCAGCTGTCAGGTCTAACAGCACCAAGACAGCTGGGCTACCTGAGTCGGCGGCTAGGAGCAGATCATTAAACACTCTTAAAAGGGCTGTTTCAGTGCTGTGCATGGGTTTGAAGCCAGACTGAAACTTTTCATGGATTCCATGCATGGTTAAAAAAGACTGCAGCTGGGCGTAGACTACTCGCTCCAGGGCTTTAGATAAAAAAGGTAGCTGGGAGATGGGCCTAAAATTTGCGAGAATGGAGGGGTCGAGATTTTTCTTTTTAAGTAGTGGCTTAACCACGGCATGTTTGAAGGCAGCTGGGACACATCCTGAGCTAAGAGAGGTGTTTAAAAGTAATAAAATACTTGCTCCAACTGAATCAAAAACATCTCTGAGAAGGCGAGAGGGAATGCTGTCTGAGGTGCAGTTTGTCGGCCGCAGGTGCATGACTACATCCGAGAGAGAAGAGAGGGATACAGGCTCAAAGTGGTCGAGGACAGCAGGGCACAGAAAAGGAGCAGGATCTGGGGTAGCACTAGTGTGGGCTAGCCTAAGAGCAGATACTTTTTCAATAAAAAATGTAAGAAACTTATCACAGAGAGTAGTCGATGGGACAATAGAAGAAACATCACAGGGATTAATGATAGAGTTGAGGACATTAAAAAGAACCTGAGGTTTATGGCTGTTTTTGGAGATTAACAGAGAAATGTGCTCTGTTTTGGCTG